TGTACCCTACTACATAGACACCTCTACTTCCATGTTCATCACAGTCCTCTTCATAATAGCTAGAAAATAGAACCAGCTTAGATCTCTATCAACTGACAAGCAGATAATGAAAATGTACAAATACACAATGAAATTTTATTCAGTTACAAAGAAAAGATAAATCATAAAAGTTGCAGGAAAATGAGTAAAACTGAAATATAAATATATTGATGTAAGTAAACATACTCAGAAAGAGAAGTATAGCATATTTTCTCTGATATGTGGATCCTAGCTCTCACTCTTTAATTGTATGCCTTTCCCTCAGAGAATCTTGAGAACCAAAGAAACCAAAATGGGGACAGTTGAGAAGGCTTTCTTTAAGGCAAGAAATACCATACCACATAGGCTAAATGATGGTGGTATGCTGAATAGGGCATATTTTCATTTCTCTGGGATCTCAAGGATTATTTAAAGTACAGGGACAATCAGCCTGTGTCCTAAATCTGAACATTCAGTGAACTATTGATCAAAAGTACTTTTAATTCCATCTGTAATAAATGTGCATAGATTTCTCTATTATTTTGATTCTCTAGACAAAAGAGTATAACAATTAGCCATACAGTAATCATACCATGCTATTATAATACAGAGGCTTTTTAACATATGTGGGAGGTCTTGCATAGGTTATATACAGTCGTTGTAAATAGGAGATGTGAGATCCCATGAATTTGAGTATCCACAGAAGTGCTAGAAACTAAACCAATCCCAAAGAAAATGAAGGACACTATGGACTCTTTCACTTTCTACTCTGGGCTTTTGGAACTGATCTCACGTAGATCTCATCCTGAGCAATGCTGTGCAATGCTCAGGCTGTTTGGTCCTATTTAAGTGTAGGGTTCACTATGGAAGCCTTAACATTCAAAATGAGGAATTGTTTTTAATACATAGTTGAATTATAGAAACTGAACAAATAGCAAACTGCAGAATTCCTGGCTACTCTTTGGTCATATTAAATTATTTATTTTGAAAGTTTCAAGTCATTTTTTTCAGAGCCCTCTCTTCTCTAGGAAGTTGAGCATTTGAGAGAATTTTGCTTTCCTTTTCCTTTTCAAAATCTTAAGGTATGTTTTTATATGTGTGTTCTTTCCTAGCCTGAGTGTCATATTTACTATTAGCCCTGTCAAGTATATTGTAACCAGATGTAGAAAATACATACCAGAAGATAGTAAAATCTTGGACATTACATGTCTGGGATCAGTTTTTCCCCCAGTGCACCATATTATCTGTGAACATCATTTGTGTAGTCATCTATGTCTTTGACCTTTCTCAGTTTTCTTATTTTTTACTTTCTGTCCATATTTCACTTTGCTTTATAATATGAGATATTGTGTTTCTGTAGCTCATATCATCAGGTAGTTGATTTTGACATTTATTAGACCAAGGTTACATACATTCTTACATACTTCTTCCTACTTTCTTTGTACCCACCACATATATGACCACATCTGACTTCCCATTACTGTGATGCTTCAGATACAAATCAGATGCAATGGGGTTTTGCTTAGGTTTATGCCTTTGCAGTCAAGCTGCTATTAGAGGAAATATCTGAGTTATGTGAGCGCATGAACACAATGCATTGAAGACACATCTGGGACCCTGTCTCATTAGTAGGTTAGGGTCTGTTGCACTTGTCTGCCGATACCTATCTGCCAATATTCTGAAGTCTTTCCAGTTTCTAAATGGTGATTTAGATTAATGCTTTTCTAATCCAAATGAAACTGTGGTATTGAATGCAGCCATGAGAATAAGTGCTGTTATATGCCACACTTGAAAGAAGCCTAGACACACCTGGTTTGAGTAGGGCAGGAGATGAGATGCGATCAGATTCCACTGTCTGTAACCGCACCACAAAAGATGCCAAACACCACTTTTCCAGGAATCCCAGAATGCAAAAGATCTTGAGGGTCAGAATTGATTTGGGATTCTTGATTTTCAATAAAATGTGATTTTGTATGATTAAAAAGAATGAGAGGAAAATAAAATAGGCTTTCAACATTCTGTAATGAGAATGATGAGTGAGTCATTGATGAGTCATACAAGGCCTGGAGCACAGAGGATGCTGTTAACCCACCTGTGCAGCCTCACCCTCCTTGAGAAAAACAGAATTGTTAGCTGCTATCTAAGATATGCTAAGGCTGATTGTGAGGATCATCTTCGTGTCTCTGAAGTTGAGGTGACTCAGAACTTCCTTGACTCTTCGTTTCAGCCAGTCAGTCTCAAAATTGCCCCTCTAATTATCATTCAAGTCATATGATTTCTGGGTGTTCCTCCAGCTAGATGTTCTCTCTCTTCACTTCCTTCTCTGAAACCTTCTTTAATCCCATGTAGTTCTGGGTTCACCTTTCTGATACCAGCTCAGAAAGGACTAGGTGAAATCTAGAACCAGTGTGGTCCATAGTCTGCCTCTTCCCTCCAGATGCCACTACGCTGGGAGGGTAAAGTTGTAAAGTCATGTTTTGGACAAATGTGGTTCTGTGTCCTCTACTTTCTCCTTCTCAGGGTGTCCAGATGCTGCTGCATACCAGGCTAGATGGATGAAGCAGAGTCTAGAATGAGCAGAATCAAGTACCAGGGGGTGAGAAGAGAGAAGGCTCTTTTGTTGTCTTCTCCAACAACCTTTAATGAAGCAGCTCTCTGAGACAATCTTAGCTCATGTATATTTCTGTATTCAGGGTGGGCTTCAATACATACACCTTTTTCATGATGAACCAAGAATTATATAATTTGGGGGTGAGAATATCCAGGATGGAAGAAGCACATTGGCTGAAAGCTAAGGTACTGAGATGCCTCATTAGCATAAGGCGGTGTTCCAGGTGCTGGGCCACATGACTACCTGTGACCACCTGATTGGGGGTCACTCTGGTTATATGCTCCAAGGCAGGCATAGAAGCAGGGAGGGATACAGATCCATTCCTGCTAGTCTCAGGACAAGAGGCTAAATTTCAAGATTTGAGGTCTCCAGGTTTGAATATGTTCCATTTTACCAGTTCTATGCCCGTTTCTCTGGTTCATGTCCCATACAGGGCCACATCCACCTTGGTGCTTGCCCTCACCCCTCAAGCTGATCTAGCTTTCTTTTGTCAGGTTTATACCATGCATCATCTAATTAATTAAAAATTATGAATCTAGCTTATACTTCTGCTGGGATCCTGTTAAAAACTACCTCCAAATGGCATTTTTTACAGATTAATAGTATGTCCTTAAAAACACTGTAAGCTTCTATAAGGTAAAACTCTGTCTCCTTAAATCCTCCATCCTGTCTGGCACCCTACCAATATCTATGTGGTATTCAATGTCTCTTATAAAATGATTCTTTACAAAAGCAGACATGAGTTAATGTTCCTGCTGGCTACACTCAATATGGATGCATTTTCAGGTATAACTGTTGTATGAAGACATGCATATAAAATAACAGTTCAAATTAGGTATTTGTCTAGATTTATAAACTGAGATCGCCTTAGCTAATGAACGTCTGAGAAGCAGTGTTGTTTGATTAGTGCAGAGATAGCTTTCCACAGAAACACAACTCAAGAAAACCTTAAAGAATTAATTTATTCTCTTAGCTCTTTGAGATGCTGAAGCACCTAAACCAATCCACAGCCACTAACCACAATCTTTTCAGTTTAAGAACTTTGTCTGATTGGTGGTTCAGTCTCTGGGAGCCCCTAACAGTCCAGATTAGTTGACTCTGTTGGTCTTCTTGTGAAATTCTGTCTCCTCCAGGTCCCTCAATCCTTCCCCCAACTCTTCCATAAGACTCCTGGAGTTCCATTTAATATTTAGCTGTGGGTCTCTGCATATATTTCTGTCAGCTGCTGGGTGGAGCCTCACAGAACACAGTTACACAAGGCGCCTGTCTGCAAGCATTAGAGAGTATCAAATGTCAGGGGTTGGATCTTTCCCATGGAATGAAGCTCAGGTTGGGCCAGTCATTGGTTAGCCATTCCATTAGTCCCTGATCCACTTTTGGTCCTATACTTTGGGGCTCTCAGAGACTGAACCACCACCAATGAAAGAGCATACAAGGACTGGACCTAGCCCACCTCACCCCCCATATATAGCAGATGCACTGCGTATCTTCCTGCAGGTCTCCCAACAACTTGAGGGGGAGCCTTACCCTGACTCTGTTGCCTGCTTGTGAATCCTGTTCCCTTAACTGGACTGCCTTGTCTGGCCTCAGTGGGAGAGGATGACTAGTCCTGCAGAGACTTGAGTTCCCAGGGAGGGTTGGTACCTGGGGGGACCTCCCCCTTCTCAGAGATGAAGTAAAGGGAGTGAAGGGGGTGGGACTGTGTCAAGATACAAAGTGAATAAATTAGTTAATTGATGGGGAAAAAATCTTTGATCAGCAAACAAAAAATAATAATAATTGAATCATACAGAGTTCTTTTACTCAAAAAAAAAAAATCTGAGAAGTCTGTACTCGCTTTAAAGCAGAACACCGTTAAACGGATGTCTGAGCAAATGGGTGGAGGTCTGAAGTAACAGTGAAAGTGATGCCACTAATGGCTCTGATAGTGGATGGAAAGAAGATTGCTAACAATTTAGTGTTCTGTTCGTAACTCCAGTCAAGCATTTACCAAAAAAATTAAGCGGGTTGAACTTTGGAAATCTAAATCAAATCTTGAAAGCATGAGTATATTTTGCAGATGGAAAAGAAGAGAAAGCAGGAGATAGTGCTTAAAACCCGTCTCCATCCTTGGTGCATCTCTTTAATGCAGTGCTTTTAAGCAACGCTCAGAGCTTTGAGAATATCTGCTGTGTTACACGCTGGGCCGAAGTTGTAAAAATTTTCACAAGAAATGATTGTTTCTCCCAGAGTGCCACAGTCCTCTTCCATCCCAAGGAGCTTCAAGGAGAGAAGACAACAAACACTCTGTAAGGTGGAACTTTGTCATTGTGCACAGGACAGACACACCATAACTGCTCTGTTTCATGCCATTCTTCCTGTCTTCCTGCAGCTACCTCATCCCTGAACTCCCAGCTGCAACAGCTCCAGCAACTCCAGCTCCAGCAGCAGCAGCAGCAGCAGCAGCAACCACCTCCTCCACCAACCAGCCAGCAGCACCCACAGCCAGCCTCACAGGCGCCCCCACAGTCTCAGCAGCCGCAGTCCCAGCCCACCCCGCCTCACCAGCCACCACCTGCCTCCCAGCAGTTGCAGGCTCCCCCTGCTCAGCTGCAGCAGGCGACTCAGCCTCAACAGCACCAACCTCACTCGCACCCCCAGAACCAGAACCAGCCATCTCCAACCCAGCAGAGCTCAAGCCCCCCTCAGAAACCCAGCCCATCTCCAGGACATAGCCTTCCGTCACCGCTCACACCGCCTAACCCTCTACAGGTATGCTTTCCATCCTCCTAGAGAGTGTGGACTTTCCCATGGTGGTGTACAGTCCCCACAGGCAGAAGGCCAGCAAGACATAGCATCCTGCTCTGCAGTGTCCAATTCAAATTGATCTCCTGGACTTAGAGAAGAGGAAGTAAATGGCAGGCAGCTGGGGATGCATGTAAACGAAACAAATAGAAACCCATTGATGCTGCCCTCCGAAGGATAAATGTTATGTCTTTCTTTCGGTGAGAGGACAGCACTGTAAGTGCACTTGTAGCCTGTAATAACTCCATTTTATGATACTTTTTGAAGGCAGCAAAGATAGCATCCAATTAAAATTATTACTAGCACAGTTTTGTAGCCCCGTGGAGAACTGCATCTACTGTCCACGAGGCTTGGTGGTTATTTCTCTATATTATGAATACAACAGTGTCTTACCTTCAGTACTTTCTGCTCTTTTGTTTTTATTTTTCTAAAAACTCTCTGGGGTTAGGAAGGCAAAGAAATTTAACCCCAGTCTTGTGTCCCAGATTCCATCCATTACTCCACAGACTAACAAGTATTCTAAATTCATGCCAGAGCCTCAGAAAATATGCATCTTGATACAGGATAAAGCTGCTATATATTTACTTTATTACTGTGAGACAGAAGAAATAAAAAATAGGTACTTTAGGCTAATAATGAAAGCTTATTTTTAGTCTACTATCATTGAGAGGAATGAAGAGAAACATTCAAAAATATATAACTTTAACTTCCTAATGACATCTTTTAGAACAGATTAGCTTCCAACGGAATGACTGGGGTGCCAGCACAGGAGGTATAGACCCTCTTGGTTTTTGAATCACATGAGACTGAAAATGGCTCAGAGTATCCCTAGGTACCGTGCTAACCAACTAAGAAGTTTATTGATTAGCATCCCAGCTTCCTTACAGGTGAGCCTTGATCCAGGCTCCCCAACACAAGGATGACACTAGTGATGACTTTTGTGGCTGCTAAACAGGAAAAGACACAAGATCAAACAGATGAGCACACACATAAAAGGCAGGTAGATTACGAACTTGGTCTAAGAACCAACTCTAAGTCCTGTCTATTGCTTTGTCTCCCTGAACTTGCTTTCTAAAAGTGATAGAAAGTTTGTAATGTACCAACATTTGATTCCTGGACAAGTGGTTAAAGGTAACTGTCGCCCTGAGCACTTACCTAAGACAGAGCGAAAAAGTTTATATATAAATCTTACAAGGGCAAAACAACCTAACAATTTTGACATGATACCAAAATGAACACAAGGTAAAAAAATGTCTTTCTCGGATACCTGACATCTGATGGGAGAATAAATATAACCAAATGCACCAATCAAGCAGCCCAGCATTGTCAGTATCTAAAATGCATCCGTGTCATTCCAGAAAGAGATTAATGCTTTCCAAGAAGAGATAAAGTACCTGTGCCTATATACCAAGTGACTCAGTGGCTTTCTTACTCTGTAAGCACACCGTGCCTGAGAGAAACAACTGGTTTTATTATGACTCACAGTTTTGGAGAGTTGCAGTCCATCATAGCAGAGAAGGCATTGGGGAGTGGGTTGGTTTCTAATGACCCTGTGAGGCAGAGCCTGTTCACAATAGTGAAACAAGAAACAGAACCCAAAGCAGGAACGATAGATTCTATCCTCAGGGATGGATGTCTGCCAGATGGGCAGAATATTCTATATGTTCTACATCCTCCCCAGACAGCCCCACCTACTGGGAAGTAAGCTTCAACAGAACCTGTGGGAGATGGTTCAGATCCAAACCATAACAATACGTGGTTAAACGTTTCTACACTGCCCCCACCAAGACACCAAACTAGGTTAGATTACCAAAAAGTTCACCCTGCCTTGGTAGACAGCCTGACTTGCATCTGCACAAGTTGTTGATTATAATCTGGAGTTTTTTCCAAGTTAGTGAAAGCTAGCTTGGAACTATGCAGACATCAGTCTTCATTGAACACTGACAACACCTAAAGACTCCTCCAGGTAACTCTCACAGAAATCCCAACCTGCTTCACTTTGTCACAGTTTTTCAGTGAAGGAATGCTCAAAGCCACACTTTGTTTCTTTATAGTCCTAATAAAATATTCTAATTTTTCAACGTTGGGAGTTTTGTTTCTAAACTTAATATATTTATGGTATTTACATAGAGAGTAGAGATAACATTAATACCCAAGGACCTGAACAGGTGACCACCAAAGGTGTGCCTTGTTCAAAGTTTAAAATCATTTTTGGATAGATGCAGAATTAAAGTCGAATAAGTAAGTCTATGTCAACAAGCAGAAAGCACTCTTCACTCACTGTAGGTAGGCACATGTAAAGGAAAGGGACAATTTCACGGTCTCAACTTTTTCCCCTTCAACACTCGCTGCAGGGCTTTTGAGCTTGTGGAACATAGAAGGTTTGAACTTTTTAAAAAGAAACCCATTTAAAAGCACTGCACAGACATTTAATTCTCGGAGTTAATGATCTTTATGAGGCAGAATGAAGTGTTTTGTCTGAAAATTATTCAGGGAATAAAGATCAACTAAATTCGCATGTGAGAACTTAAATTTCATTTTTATGATTCTCCATTTTCGTGTGGGCTTTATCTTTTTACATCATTCAGAGACAGCCTTTTAGAACTGCAACACAGATTATTAGGAAAAGTCAGCACATTGGAATCCTTTTTGTTTTATATTTAGCTCAAAAAGTTTTTGAAGGATAACAATTATTTATAGTGCTGTATAGATATCTTAAGAAAAAGTCCCAAATGAAAGCAGGCTGTGAAGGTATATTTGGGTGACGTCATTTCTCAGAGATAAAGAAAAACATGAGTAGTGCTGGCAGGTACCAACACTAGACAAAAAGTCTCCAAATAGCTCCTGTCAGGTGTTTCTTTAAAATTGCAGCATAATTTTATTTCACGTTTTTACTCAATTCCATGAAATGGATTGCATTTACAAAACCAGATTGTTGTTTCAAAGCAGAGAAGACTGAACTGTCGCCCCTTCAGAACAGCTTGGGTAAGAGAGGAACTAGTTCATTAATTTTGATCACTTGGGGCCAGAGAAGGGCCGATGAATAGCAGGAGCTAAACCCTCCTGAGCTGTGTTTAGATTCTTTACTGAGACTCAAAACCTGCCCACAACTTCCTTCAGTCCCTAGAGGCTGTGAAGAGAAATTCTAAACAGAATAAGAAAGTACATAGGTCTCAGGAGCTAGGCAGTCATGGCACACAGGCAGGTGCAGATGTAGGTGCAGGTGCAGATGTAGGTGCAGGTGCAGGTGCAGATGCAGGTGTGCAGGTGCAAGTGCAGGTTCAGGTGCAGGTGCAAATGCAGGTGTGCAGGTGTAGGTGCAAGTTCGGGTGCAGGTACAGATGCAGGTGCAGCTGCAAAATGAATTTCTGTAAAGAGTGTATGGGACAGAAAAACACATCTGGGAGCTGAAGCTAGTCCTTGGGGTCAAGGATGGTCTTCAGTCCATGCAACCTTCATTTGCTGTAACCCATCTGCAACAGAGTAAGCAAGGATCTGAAACAATAAATAGAAGTAACCTTTTTAGATTGGGGAGACTTAAAGTAATTACTCCTGGTAGAAAAAAAAAAAACAAACTCAAAATTTTAGTTCAGTGTTAGTCTAATCTAGCAGAGATCCCGTGATCCTGGGAATGGTGAGCTTCTTCCTTCCCAGCTCTTTGCGGTTGCTTTTCCTGAGGATGCTCATCGGGATTTTACATGCACTGGAGGCATCACAGGCACTTGGCCCGTGTCCTAAGGAGCCCCTCCTAAAGGGTCTGACAGCACCTGTCTGGAGCTCATTGTATTGTATCAGAAGGTGAATAGCTTCTTTCTTATCCCAGCCCGTCTCCAAACTCACTCCTGGCTTTTGTCAAGTTACTGTAACTCTCTGGATGTCAGTTTTTCTCACCTGGCGTTTCTAAGAACCTTCTCTGTCCTGTGCAAGTATGTTCCAAATGTTGGTAGAAGTCTGGGATTTTACTGGCTGCTGAAAACCTTTTCAGATTTTGAGTATTCTTCAAGGTCAGGTGAATTTCTTCCCACTCAGCTGGATGGCAGAGTGAAAAGAGAGTGGAAGACAAACATAAGTGGGATAATGATAGCAGAAGAAGGTTTTATCTTAGCCAGAGAGCCCAAATTAAAGTCAAGTTTTCATCCGCAGAGAGTCGCCGCTGTAAGCTCTCATCCCAGATTGTCTTGCCACACCTGTGCATTAGAGAAGCTTAAGGAACCAAATGCTGCATTTAACCTTGGCCTTCTGAACGCCATCTTGCTTGGCAGGAAGCAGGATAATCTTTGCCTTTTCTTGTTGTACTGCACATTTTAATAAGCAACAGTGGTACTGAGAAAGGGGGAGGAGAGAGGGAGGAAGAGAGAGAGGGTGAGAGGAAGAGAGAGAGAACAATAGAAATACAGGCCTGACAGATGCTTGGAAGGGTAGCACGCATTTTCACCTGTGAGCATTTGCTGATATGTTGGCCTAGTAGCAGCTCAGTAATGAAACTGGATCAGAGTCCTACCTCTGTTATACCGAGGCAAGGCCCTTGGACATTCTTGACAATAGTTTCCCATTGGCACACTCAGTACTATAGCCAATGTAGATACCCCCTTTTGAAACATAAAGTCCAAATCTTCAGAAGTAGTAACTTTCATTATTTTTAAAGCAAATGTTCTCCAACCATGAGTCCTTCTCTTCACCATAAAAAGGGCCTGGGGTTTTTGTAGCCACACTCCCTCTCCCTTCAGCAAGTGACCAGTTTAGTACAAGGCTCCTAGTTGTAGAATTTTTTTCATTCATAAAATTTAATCTCTATAAGGTCCTTTCAGTTTCTTTTGAGTCTTACCTTAGAAATCAGTGATGCAGTGTGGTGTCAGTGGCCCATATGTGCCTCCTTTGGCCATTATCAGTTCTGATAGATCAGAGACATCTCTGCACTCACACAGGATCAAGTCACTTGCAGAAGTGAGACTAAGCTAAAAACTATA